TCTTCACAGAAACTGATATAAGATGTTACGGTCTCTGTGAGCTCGTCCAGATCGGTGGCAGCAGCTTCAAAAACACTCCAATCAGTGAGGTCAAAACAAGCTTTTAAATCCTGCTCTGCTTCATTAGTCCATCTTTTTACAGTCCTTAACACAGGTTTAGCTGATTTCAGTTTCTGCCTGTAGGTCAGTATAAGATAAACCAAACAGTGATCAGAGAGCCCCAAAGCTGCCCGTGGGACGGAGTGATATGCATTCTTTATTGTGGCGTAACAGTGATCCAATATATTACTGTCTCTGGTGGGACATGTGATGTGCCGTCTGTATTTTGGCAGTTCATGGGAGAGATTTGCTTTATTAAAGTCCCCGAGAATGATTCAGAAAACAGAGTCCGGGTGTTGTTGTTCCATCTCTGTGATCTGATCAGCGAGTTTCTGTAAAGCGGAGCTCACGTGTGCTTGCGGAGGAATGTAAACACTGACGAGATTGAACGAGCAAAACTCCCGCAGCAAGTAGAAAGACTTACAGTTAATGAAGAGCACTTCTAGATCTGAACAGCACATCTTCTTTAACACAGTTACATCTGTACACCACCTCTCACTGATGTAAAAGCATGTCCCGCCGCCGCGTGATTTCCCTGTTGATTCTGCATCACAATCTGCTCTAAACAGCTGAAAGCCCGGGAGACTCAACACGCTGTCCAGAATGGCGTCTTTCAGCCAGGTTTCCATGAAACACAGAGCAACAGAGTTTGAAAAATCCTTATTTGTCCGGGAGAGCAGAAGAAGTTTGTCCGTTTTGTTGGGTAGAGAGCGGAGGTTTGCCAGATGGATGCTAGGCAACGGCGTCCTGAATCCGCGCTGCCTGAGCTTCACGAGCGCGCCAGCTCGCTTCCCCCGTCTGCACGTCCTGAAGCATCTGAACAGCACCGCAGCTCCCCCGACGGGGGAGCTACAATGTCCAGCAAAACATCCGAATAGTCGAAAACCGGTGAAATATCGGGTGGTGTGTACTTCCGAATGTCCAGCAATTCGTCTCTGGTGAAACTGATTGCAGGGATATAACTAAAGACAGGACAAACTAACAAAAACAACTGTGGAGCACGCCACGGAGGCAGCCATCATCGTCGGTGCCATCTCAATGGCGTACGCATCAAGGCTATATTTGCTTGATCAAAAATACAGTGAAATCATTAATATTATTAAATATTATTGCAATTTAAGATAACTGTTTTTATTATAAAATTTCAAAATGTAATTTATTCATGTGATGCAAAGCATCATTCCTCCAGTCTTCAGTGTCACATGATGCTTCAGAAATCATTCTAATATGCCGATTTTCTTCTCAAGAAACATTTCTTATTATTATTATTGATGTTGAAAACAGTTGTGCTGCTTAATATTTTTGTGAAAACCGTCATCATTTTTTTTTTTTTTTCCAGATATTCTTTGATGAATATAAAGTTAAAAAGCAAAACCTTTATTTGAAACTAAATCCGTATATAACATTATACATCTTTTTACTTTCACTTTTGATCAATTTAATACATGCTTTTATTGAAAAAAAAAACAAATAATAAAAAATCTTACTGATCCTAAACTTTCTTTTTTCCCCCTTGCCAGTTGCAGTTTTTTTGCTTGGTCCAAAATCCTGCTTATCCACATCAAAAGATTTTTGATAAGCTGTAATTTCATTATTTTCAAAACCATTTTAACCTTCATTCAGGAATGCAAAAATTACATGCCGGCTGTAATTTCCATTTGGACACAGTGTTACACTGAAACGTGGCTCAATAAGCAAACCCTCACTTGTTCTGTTACTTTCATCAGCTTCTGAAGATTAAGGAGAACTTAAATGGAAGTGTTGATATTTTGGGTTTCCTGCTCTTTCATTGTCTGCAGTGTCTTCCAGCATTAGCAGTAAAGGAGAATCTATGACTGTACAATCGACGTCACAGCATGAACAAAACAGGTACAACTTCGTCCTCTTTTACCACCCTTCCATCATTTCTCATAACAGTTGCTTAAGTCATTGCAATTGCATAGGATGTAGTTTATTTGTGCAACTCTTATTTCAAAAAGGCAAGAACAGGCCCCTTTCTT